CGGGGAGGAGCAGCCGGAGGAGGTGCCGGTCGGGTCGGAGGGGGGGGGGATGGAAAGTCCTGGTTGCTTTGCTGGCCGCTTTCTCCTCCTTCACTGTCCCCCTTGCCAGCCGCGGGCGCCTGCTTCGCCCTGGCCGCTTGCCCTTTCAGTTTCCTTTTGCAACATCGGGAAAGGGGATTTTCCCCAGAGGGCGCGACCGGGCCAAACCCACCCCCCAAACCCAGCCCCAAACCCAGGCGCCCGTCTTCGTCCGGCGGCCGCCTGGCTCGTTTGCAGCCTTGCGAGCGGGACGAAATTTTGCCCAGAAGTTTGCAGCAGAACCAAATCCGGGCCAGAATCTCCCCGGCCGCTACCGCGTCCTCCCTGCGGCCGGGCGAAGCGCAGGGGCGATTTCTGGTCCCTACCCCGATGCTTTCAAATGGCCCCGATTCCCTTTCCATTGCCAGCTGGACCGGCCTCCTCTGCTCGGCGTGGCGGGGCCCTCTCGGGTTCTCTTCTAACCCGGCTTCTTCCCGGGGCGCCTGCAATCGGCATCTTCGGCACCTTTTAAAAAATAAACGGGTTTCCCTTTGCTTCGTAACCCGCCGGGCTGCCTTTCTCGCTCGCATTTGTTTGATTTTTGTGTAATGAGGAAATCCAGCGTAGTTCAAATATATAATCCATTTGCGCACTGAAATCCCCGAACAGCTGGCAGGATTTTGTTTTATAATCTTTGGCTTTTCTACGCCGGACGCATTTCTACATTCCGACCTGACATTTATGGGGGGGAGTTGAATGTAAATGTATATTACGATTTTTTCAAAACCCGTCCTGATTGCCTCTTTGTTTTATTTATTTTTTTGCTGAAGTTTCTTTGCTTTTTTACATCGCGCCTTAATTCATTTTTGAAAAAGTTTGTTCGTGGAAGGAGAAAACTGAATTTGTCCCCTTCTTTTCATTTCTGCCGTTTGGAAATGTCTGAGCGCGCACAAAAATGCAACCTGTTGTAATAAACAAAGCGGTGCGCTTGCTTTCTTTCAACCGAGCAGAGAAGCGATGTGGGTTGAGCCGCTTCACGCTTTAGGATATGCCCGGGTTTTAGTCTTGCTTTCCAGACTGGTTAGGAAAAAGGGGTTTATACGTAGAACAGCGGCCAGCTCCGTTTTCTCCACTCACACAACATTTGTGCTGCCTGTTAAATCCAGCCCGTCCTAGATTAGCTTACTTGGCTCTGTCTTTCTCTCTACCTAATTCCAACCCGCGTACGATCTCTTAGAAACAGGGGAATCGAATTAGAGGCAGAGATTACTGATAAAAAGTTGTTCCTTAGTGCGAAGTGGTTTTTTTTTTTTTATGGATCAAAGTTAAGGCTGTTGATTCAATTTCTCTCGCTTTTGGCATCTTTAACCTAGCAATTAGTAACATATAATATGTTGGTAATTTATACACCCCTTAAACAAGGCGTTTTAAAAAATCTTCGTATATCAGAGTGGTCCTTTAAAAGCAATTAAAATCACAATGTTTTTTGGTCTGTCGGTCTTACCTCGGTGCCTTATGCAGCCTCATAGATTGTTCCCTACCCCCTACTCCCTCCACTCCTCGTGTAGTTAATTCAACAAAGACTTTTTGCAATCTGTTTGGAGTTTGTCTGATGCCGTGGAAAAGTAGCTGCTGATTTATTCGGTTGCTTTTCGATTTCTGTCTCCAGCCCGTCTTTTTTCCTCCTTTCAGTGGGGATGTCAGCTGTTATTACTTCCTATTGATCCCTTTGCAAAGTGAGAAGTGAACTAAAATTAATGTCAATTCCACTGCTCAGATCAATAGCTGGAGTTATTTTAATCTGGATTTGCACGGGGTGCTAAATTAAAAAAAATCAGCATAGAGGCAGAAAAGTAACAGTTACTTACTTTGCCTTGTGCCTACTACCTTACAGCCACCCAAATGGTCCATCAAGCTGATTATCCTACAATCCATATTTTTTTAATTAAGAAGGTCAGTTAGTTTTCTTATTTTGGGTTCTGTATTTAAACCCATGACATTTTGACATTGGGAGTGTATTAACTATAGATTTTCATAATGACTGGTCCGCCGCAGCCTCATCTGTACATGTTGCTAATGGGGGTTGGGGGGGGAGAGAGAGACAGAGAGGGAAGAGGGAAGTGGGAGTTTAAAAAAAATTAAATTTGGCTGGGTGAGATATTGTAATGTGTTGATTTATTCCTGGCATAATGAAGTTTGCAAACGAATAAGGCGGCCGGAGTGATTCAGAGTATCCTATAAGGAATGTCAAGTGTTGTAGCCAGAGTTCTAATTTATGAAATACATTTAATGTAGTGAGGTGATGGAACAAGTAAAAATAGAAAAAGTGGCAAAAGGGGGGAGGGGAGAGGAATGGTGCTGCTCTCTTCTTTTTTTTTTAAAGTCATATTTTCCAGTGATTTCTTAGCCTGACTTACATATTAATTGTTACGTATTTCTGTGTGAGTGCTTTTTTATTTGTATGTGTGAGTTCATTATTTGACAACAGCCTGAAAAAAACTCAGTACCCCAAAATTTACAATTTTGTGACCTGTGTGTCCAGCTGTTCTGTGCTATAACCGCCTGCCCTTGGTTTCTCCCTCTCTGTGGCTAGAACTCGACAGAAAAACTCAGTACCCCAAAATTTACAATTTTGTGACCTGTGTGTCCAGCCGTTCTGTGCTATAACAGCCTGCCCTTGGCTTCTCCCTCTCTGTGGCTAGAACTTGACAGGAAAGTTATTTAAAATTTGGAAGAGAGCAAATCTGTTAATGTGAGATCCATAATCTGGTAATTTAGCAATGATGTCTGTAAGGACGGGTGCCAAATGAGGAAGTCGAGAGATGATGTCCACTCATCTTTACAATTAATAACAGTCACTGAAGCATTTGGGTACAGGATGGCAGAAAGGAAATGTTATCACTGACTGCATTAAAACCGCAGACTGCATTTCATACAGTTTGTTAACCTAGGCTCCCTCATTGACGGAATACAAAAGGCACTCCATTAGGAAGACAGTCTCTCAGTAAGTTTTATTTGAGATGTTTGACCCTTTGGATTTAAGAGAGACAATTTGTAACAGCTTTTTAGTATTATATGATTTTCTGAGCCCTTTGAGCTCTGGCAGGCTAGATTATTGTTTCAAAGTTATAGTTCTTGTATTGTAAGACAGGGCTTGGGGCCTGAATGGGCGGGAGCGGAAGCCGAGAAGAAAAGGCACCGGGGTCGATTGGGATAAGACATACCAAACCAAACCAAACCAATAAAACAGACTAACTCAGAGAGATACAAAAGGGAGGCTTTTTTCCCTGCCTCTTGCTCCTAGGGCTTTGTGGCTGGGCAAATGGATGTGGTTGAGCTGGGAGGCTGAGCAAAATGCAAGGCAGAAATTTTGTTAACATTTCCCTCTAAATGTTAATGGGGGATACAGAGCAGTTTACAAATCCACTTAAGAGCGAGTGCATTAGGAACTAAAATTACCGATCCGCTCTCCACTGCCCCAGACCCGACAGGCAGACGTTTGCAGAGATCGCATGGCAGAGGCACCCGTTACGATTTTAAATATTGTCAGAGACGCCAGGCATTTTATTGATGAAGTCTCTGCTCCTTTAAAAAAAAAAAAGAAGAAGAAAGTGTGCGTGCTGTGTGTGTATATTGCACGAGTATGTAACATCGACTCTTGCACATGGGCATGTACCTGCACATACATCACGTGTGAGGAAAAATACACGAATTGCACGTTCCGTGTGCACCATAGGCAGTGCAAACAACTGTATGCATGTTTATTTGGGTGCATGGCACACCGTACAGTAGATAATATGTGGTTTATATGCATTGCATTGCAGTGCTCAGTGGGGGAACATCTCCGTTTTCAGCCACACCTAGATAACTGACGTGGGGATATTTATAGCGCCCGTAGGTCTTTTATCCCCGTGCGTTCAGTAGGGCTTGCCCTCCCTTGTCTGGAGTGGACCAGAGCGGGTTTCTGTTGCTGTGGCTGAACGAGACGGCTCGGTGCGCTGCCGGCCGGTGGGCTGTAATGCGTGTGGCCTTCCCGCTGCGTGGAGTTTCCAGGAGAAGCCGGCGCGGAAACCTCACCGCTCGTGTTTTCTCTTCCCTTCTGTTTCTCTGCAGCTTCGGGACGGCGACGATGCCCCAGTGATCTGCCTGCTCCAGACCCGGGCCTCGCTTGACTTTCCTTCCAGGAAAGACTGTTCCCCTTGTGACCCTGCCGAGGAAAGAGACGCCGATGGACTTACACCGGGCCGCCTTCAAGATGGAAAACTCATCCTACCTTCCCAACCCACTGGCATCTCCGGCCCTGATGGTCCTGGCCTCCACGGCGGAAGCCAGCCGGGACGCTTCCATCCCCTGCCAACAGCCAAGACCTTTCGGAGTCCCGGTCTCGGTGGATAAGGATGTGCACATCCCCTTTACCAATGGCTCATATACTTTTGCCTCCATGTATCACCGGCAAGGCGGGGTGCCAGGGGCCTTTGCCAACCGTGACTTTCCCCCGTCTTTGCTGCACCTTCACCCCCAGTTTGCACCCCCCAACCTGGACTGCACGCCCATAAGTATGTTGAACCACAGCGGAGTGGGTGCTTTCCGTCCCTTTGCCTCCACGGAGGACAGGGAGAGCTACCAGTCAGCCTTCACGCCGGCCAAGCGCCTGAAAAACTGCCACGACACCGACTCGCCCCACCTGCGCTTCTCGGATGCCGATGGCAAGGAATATGAGTTTGGAGCCCAGCTGCCTTCCAGCTCCCCGGGCTCCCTCAAAGTCGATGACACGGGGAAAAAGATCTTTGCGGTCTCTGGCCTCATTTCGGACCGGGAGACCTCGTCCAGTCCCGAGGACCGAAACGACAGATGTAAGTACCTCCGTTACCCCTCTCGGTGTTGCGTCGCTGTGCCGGGTGGGCGCGTGCCCCTCACGGGCTGCCCTGGCGCGCGGCCGGCCCTGCCGAAGGAATGGGCACCGTGCTCGTCCCTTCGCGCCGCGTGCAGTGGTAAACTGGTGCCTTGTTTTTCTTAAATGGACATTGATGGATTTCATGGTAAGGTATATTGGAAGGAAACCCATTTTCAAATGCACCTGCGGGAGAGACACTGTTCTCTCTGCTTAGAACGGGGGCAGCGACCCGGAAACATGTCTGTGCCACAAAGCAGGGGGGTGGGTGTGTGTGTGTGTGTGTGTGTGTGTGTGTGTGTGTGTGAGAGAGAGAGAGAGAGGCTGTGTCTGCTTGCGCGTATACAGAAGGGCGCATCTGTGATATACAGCTAGAACTTTTTTCGGGGCACTTATCAGTTAAAACTGGACACGTGGCTCCCCTCCATAATCCCCCCGCCCCCCATGTGCAGTTCTTGACCCTCGGCTGCCTCCCCAGAACAGGACAAAGTTCCCTTCTGCCGTATTTCTCCTCGCAGTAATTTGGGCCCTCGAGCGCTTGGCCGCAGGCCTGAGGCTGGTTACGCTCTTAAGGTGCTGGAAGGGACCCAGCCAGAGCCCTCTATGCACGACCATCGGAAGGCGATCGGCCCCTTCCCCGACCGGCAATTGAACTGAAGCAAACCTGTCCAACGTACGCTGTTGTCACAACTCCCCATTCCTCTGTCATTCCCCCTCCACCCCAGTGTCTTTGCCAGTGGTGGGCAGGCTTCCCTCCTCGCATGAAAAGCTTAAGCATTCGGTAAGGGTACCCCGTTTGGGGGAGCGGTCGCGAGAGAATGGGGCCTGTGGCCCCCTGCTTCAGAGCTACTCGATGTGGCCACATTTAACTGGCGTGATTTCTTTTAAACATCAACGCTTAGCTCAGCGGCCAGGACGGATTTGGTTTTATACAGGCCCCTTTGTACCTTCGCCTGGATTTTCTTCTTTGTAATTTGTAGGGTTTTTTTTTTTTTTTTTTTTTTTGCAAAGAAAACTGCAGCCTGTCTTTCCCGCTCCCCTTCAGATACCATTTTTCTTCTTCCCTTTATGATGCCGAAGAGAGTAATAGAGACATTGCGGCTCTCTCTCCCCTGTCGGCACTGCTTCCTCAGGCTGTCTCCTTGAATTAGGCACTGTGTTAACTTCCAGCTAAAAGGTATCTGCCTCACCCTAGCGTACTTCTTCAAGAAAAGTCCTCATCAAATCACCCTGCCTTGTAAATCCATTGCTCTTTGGTGTTGAAATCTGCACAAGGCTGTCTTATGTCAGCATTTGCAAGCGTGGGACGATTCCCACCAAAGGCAGAGACGTCTGCAGCCGCTCACAAGCACAAGTGTGATCTCTTCCTCCCACCTATATTACTTTCTGTGCATGAGAACGGCTTTCCTTGTTCCGTATCTCCTCATCAAGGTTGTTATTACGGAGAGACAACCATCGTGGGGGGAAGTGTGTGGGTGGGGATAGAGCTTCTTCAACATACATATTTTTTTTTTTTTGGAAGGGGAATGTGGGGTCACGAGGTTCAAAGATATTCTGTGTTGATATTGTATGGCTCCTTCCCCCTTATCGGCATAACCTGGATGTGGAAATGAAGCTTGCTCAAATGAATACTCGGGGAGATAACAGCGCAAAGAGCAGATGCGCTAGCTAAATGAATTTAAAGCGCATCAGTTGCTGTGAATCTTGCTAGCAAAGCCCTGTCAGATAGCTGATTTAAAGGAGTAAATCTGTTAAAGGAATTAGACCACACGTAGCGCAGCAGTGGACAGAACATCCGCCACATGCACACGCTCCTGGGTGGAAGGGAGAAATCTTGTCTTCACTAAAACTGAGGGTTCTTGGTGGGTGAGGGACTCCTGAAAAAAAAAAAATACATGCTTCACACAGGAGCAAGGCAGCTAGCAGAATGCCCGTGATGCGTTTGCTTCTACCCCTCCACTGGGAACAATTAGATGGGGCGTGATAATGAGAGAGGAAAAAGAATAACTTTGCAGGTTGCTTAACAAACTTGGGAACATAGGAAAAGCTCCCTCCCCCGACCCTCTTTCTTAAAAGCGAAAAAGAAATTGGATAAAAGTGATCCACGTTGAATACAATGAACGGAGCCATCTCATTGGTGAATCTCCCAGAGAAAACGGATTTTATTTTTGTTTCCTGTGACTTCTTAAAACCTGGAAGAGTTAAAAATGATTTGTTTCCGTATCATCCCAGGTTTTAGACCTAATTGCTAGCACAGCCGTTTGTGTTGCTGCTTGCATACCCTTTAGGTGCGTATTAGCGCAACAACAAAAAAAATGCATCTGACGAAGTGGGTCTTTGCCCACGAAAGATTATGCTCCAATAAATCTGTTAGTCTATAAGGTGCTACAGGGCTTATTGTTTTTGCAGCTTCAGACTAACACGGCTACCTCTCTGATAATTAGCACAACAGCCATTCATGTTTCATTCATCTTAAAGTTACAAAATAAGCACCAGAAGAATTTAAGGTACACTCGACCTTCCGTCCTTCCTGTCGTGTTTAGATGCTGCACCAAAGAGCATGGATGTCTGAATCTTAAAAACGATAACACGGTGGTTTTCTTTACTGTGGGGACAGGATTTAAAAAAATGCATCATCATTATCGTCTTATGGCAGTTTTTAGAAAGGGAAAACATGAGGGGTGACGTGGCTGACAGACAGCACCGCGGAATCTGTTGGGCTGAGACGTGCCCAGATACTCGCAGGGTTATTTATGGTTGTCTGTAAAAATGCATTTCAGGGCCTTTAACGTTTCTCATCTGTGACTCTCCGGATGTTTCTTGGGTTTCTTGTGTGAACACGGATACATAACCCATTGGGAATGAAGGATTCTTTTCCCGCTAGTGCCGGGCCTGTTGCCGGAAAGAGGGTTTGTGCACAAGCTTCCAGGCGCAAGTGTACGGATGAGTGTAATGAAGGTTCATTAGATCAGCAAAGTCTTTACATATTCAGCAGAGGCTCCACAGCACTGCAGGCTCCAATTGCCTGTTTGTATTTTTCAAAACCCTGAAAGGGATTAGACTGTGCGATGGGTGAACGGCTTCGTGGCATGGCCTCGTGTCCCAGCACAACAAATATTTTAACAGAGGTTTTAAATATTTTTGTACTGTTCTCAGAAAATCATCTTTACAGTTAGTCGTTTTCCTTTATTTAAAAAAAAAAAAAAAAGAGAGAGAGACTTGGGTGCACTAAGCTTTAAACGCCCCGCAAATGGGTTGTAGCTCAGAAAGTATGGCACGCCATAAACGTGGCATAGCGCAGACAGAGCCCCCTCTATGCACAGCTGTAGCCATACGCAGATAGAGACGCTGTGTGTGTTTGTACACACGTGTACTCTTGGGACCGTGTTCTCATTCTAATTACACCGCTAGGTTCAGGATCCGGCCCCTTTATGTATGCCTGGGGGCTGGGGGAGACCACGTTGTTCTCCTAGAGTACCACTGTTTTATTTTTAAGCCAGGAGGTGGTGTGTCTGTGGCAGCCGCACATCAGACTGCTAACGAATTACCAAGGCATGGATGGCGTGTGTTTGTATGAATGGTCATTTTGTAAATCTGCGAGAGTGGTTTGTGTTTGGGCACGTTGCCTGTGATGGTAGGATGTTGCTCTCGGGATGCCGAGAGAGGCTGTGTGCGCCGTCAGACGTGCATAGAAAAGACACGCTCCATCCAGGGAGGAGACGTTTCTGTTTGTTTAGACACATGCTCTGGACGGGGCCGTTCTGTTTAGATGCTCGCCGAGAAAGATAATGACGTGTATAGAACGGTTTAGGTGCTGCGTGTACAGCACGCATTGCAGACCCTGGCAAACACATTCCATGGGGCTTTGAAAATAAACGTGCCTTCGTTAGTGTAGCTTTCCAGCAGCGGTGGACGCAAATGTCGTGCTCTCCGGTGTGCTAGACATCTACAGCCCCCTGCTGAAAATGATCCCCAGTTTTATTTTGGGATTTAAAATTCAAAATTGTCATGATCACTCCCTGCAGACAGTCCCCACGGCACTACCCCACCATCCGGCAGAACAAGCCGGCAGGAAACCTGCACGCCGGCGCCTGGCTCGCGAGGCAGAGATCTCGGAGTCTGCGGTGCGGAGCTCTTGTGCTTCTTCAGCCTTCCCGTAGAACCTCCCCAGAAGTGACTTTCCCCCCGCACCTTGAGACGTGTCCAGACTCTCCACAGGGCCCGTTTCACGACTGTGACGGCAAAGTGTTTTTCCTGTGACTGTTCGCTTACTTTTTATTGTGTGTTTCCTTTGCTGTGTCGGGAAAAGCCTGATCTAATGTTAAAAAACACCAGTCAGGAGACCGAAGTGGTTGTTTTTTTTTTTTTTTTTACTTCCATCTCTGCCACTGACTCTCTTTATGATCTTTGGCAAGTCACGTCACTTTTGCCTCAGTTTTCATATCTGTAACATGATAATATTCTAGCTGCTGAAGCTGTTCTAAGAATTCATTAGTTCATTTGCTAGTACTTGGAGAGCTCTGCTCCTCTCCAGCAACGTTCAGACAAAGTAGCGATGGTATTTATTCATGTTATTTTTACTCCTACCTTTAAAATAAATGTAAAAAAAAAATCCGTTTGATTATTGGGGGGGCTGTCAATTTTCCCAACGTCCCGTTTCTCCCCCTGCGGTTAGGTTTGCGCCTGGGAGGAGGGGGAGAGAGTCTCATTCCAATTTAGGGTTTTATTTTTGGCATTTCTGAAGTGCAGTTAGTTCTGGCTTTTTAAACTAATGATTTAATATTTATCAAGTGCCATGAAAATGTAAATCCCTGTTTAGGTGCTGAGAATTATTGCCATGATGGAGAGTTTTCATTTCTGAATAGTTGTACAAAATGCAACAGCTGTGGCCTGTAGGCCTCACAATACGATCTCCCCTCCTAAGGCATGTGCATGGCTGTGTTTGTGTTGACATGGCAGGTA